GCATGGGGGGAGGGGAGTGGAAATCATAGGCTATACTGACAATCCCTTAAAAAAAAACCCAAAAAACAAACAAACAAAATTTTTATGCCATTTTTGGCCCCCGAGCTAGCAAATTCCAGTCAGGAAGCGATGGGATGTAAATAGGGCCTGTACGCTGGTGCGGATGCTACTGGGCGCACACAGGCAAAGTTGGCAGAGAAGAAACGGGAAACGTATAAAAAAAGATTTATAGGTTAATTGATGTAGCCCGATCCGCACAGTACATAGGAGGCAAGGCAGGGCTGTAACCACCAAACCCTCCCGATACGGCGAGTCCTCATCAAAACCTACGACCACTTATTTTTATCCCCCAGCCCCAAGCCCCTGAGTTTTTCCCGAAGCCCCGCGGTCCCGCCGGTGCCGGAGCGCGGAGATTTTTCGAGGAGAAAAAAAACAACTCAGTTTTAATTTTATTTTTTTTTTAAATGTTCTCCCGCCGTGGAGCCACGGTCGCTCCTTCTCTCCGAGACAGAGTGTTTCCCAGCACAACCCCCCCGCCAGGCCGGGGCAGCCGCAGTCCCGCTTGGCGTGGGCACTGCGGCCTCGGCGCCGCCGCCACCGGCCCGGCCCGGGCCCGGCAAGTCCCATTAGGGACAGACAACACACAATGCCACACATGAGGCCTCTGCGCAAGCAGGGGTCAGTCGCCCTCGGTCGCCCCAGGTCGGCGACTTCAGAGGGGCTGCCCTCCCCGGTGCTCAGCTGACGGAATAATTGAATTATGCCCCCCCTTCCCTTCCCCCCCCCCTTTATTTCTATTTCTTTTTTTCTTTTTCTTTTTTTTCTTTTATTGGGGGGGTTTGTTGTTGTTGAGAAAACCCAACACGTGCGAAAGGTAATTAATGACCCCGCCGCAGCCCTCCGCAGATAGGCAGGTAGAACCTCAGCGGAGCAGCGAGGGGGGTGCGTGGCCTCGCCCTGCCACCCCCGGGGGCCGTAGGTCGGTGCCCGGGTATTCCCGGCCCTGTCTCGGCTTCCCCGCTCCCAGATTCCTGGACGAGACGCGGAAAGGGCTACGATCCTGCAGGGCCCCCGCTTCCCGCTTAACACCCGCGGGGTGCAGCGGGGGGAGCAGCGAAGGCGGCCCTGGCCCCCCCGGCGAGTCCCCCCCGGCGAGTCCCCCCCGGGCGGGTCCCCGCGCTCCCGCCTCCTGTTGTGCTGCGATCGTGCACTATCGGCAGCGAGGGACTCACCTTCCAACTTTGGGACTGTTCTTGGCGGCTGCGGCCTGGGAAATTTGAGTGTTTGACGGGCACCGGTGTTACCTCTCGGGGAGA